GATCTGGACAATAGGGAAAAAAATAAAATTATAGTGTAAAAATTTGACGTTCATATGCGGCTAAAATGTTCTATATATGAATAAATGATTTTTAAATTTTAATCTGAATTTCAATTTGAATATATTATATATATAATTCTCGTGTCACAATGTTAGTTACCGTACTCCTCCGAAACGGCTTGACCGATTTTTATGAAATTTTATATGCTTATTCAGTAGGTCTGAGAATCGACTACTATCTGGTTTTCATACCCCTAAGTAATTAAGTTGTGCGGACGGAGAAGTATGAAATTTCGAACACTTGTAGTTTATATAGAGACTAGCTACTGGCCCCGGCTTCGCACGGGTGTACATGTATTATATATAAAATCTTCTTGAATCACTCTATCCATTGAAAAAACTGCTACAAAATCCGTTGCGTAGTTTTAAAGATTTAAGCATACATAGGGACGGACAGACAGCTACCGCGACTTTGTTTTATACTATGATTGTCTTTTGCATTTCATCACCAGCATTTGATGTTATATCCCATACATACTTCTGGTCATGACCTTAGCACCAATAAACCAATTTGTCTCTATATTAAAAAGACGTATTTGTAAAAGACACGTCATAAAAAACTATAATTGCATGACGTTAAAGTTGAATTTTTAATGACATCGACGATGTATAGGAGATATATTTAGCTACAATTTTAGCGTCAAGGTTATTAGAAGTTCTAATTATAACTAACTATGTATTACGCGTGACTTCATCCGCTTTTTTGATACAAAATGATACTTTATGTAGGATTTTATAACAATCTAACTTCACTTTAAGGTGATTCGTAGAGTTAAGTTGTGTGGGGTCCTGAAAAGGTATAGCAATATAGGCACAGAAAGAAAACAAGAAATATTTAATTGTAGAATAGAATAGTTCAAATACATTTACTTACTTTATTCAAATACATTTACTTACACTTTATTCAAATATACTTACAATTTACTATACTTAATTCAAGAAATTTAATTAATTATTTCTCCATAGAGATTAGACGCGGAGAGGGCGATGAAAGCATCGCAATTATATCTATACATTTAATTTTTTATTTAGAAAGGTAGAATAGAATAGAACAGAATAGAATATAGAATATAATAGAATCCTTTATTTCAAATAAACTTAATTTAAGCACTTTTGACTAGTCACAACAATTTTATAATCTACCGCTCAGTCGGAAAGCTGTCTCATCACAAGAAAAACGAGCAAGAAACTTGCGTGTTGCTTCTTTAAATAATCGTTGTAAGTTTACATTTTTCAAGTCGTAACGTGTGAATACAAACTACCAACTGTCAATATTTTATTAAGGTCAAATATATATTTATATAAATTTAATATTATAAATCTGAAGAGTTTGTTTGTTTGAGCTCAGAAACTGCTGTTTCGAATGGAAAAATTACTTTTGTGTTGGATAGTCCATTTGTCGAGGAAGGCTTTAAGCTATATAACATTACGCTACGACCAATAGGAGCGAAGCATCAGTGAAAAATGTTGCGAAAACTGAGCAAATGTAAATATACATAACTCAAGGTGACTGACATAGTGATCTATCAACGCACAGACCAAACCACTGGACGGATTGCGCTGAAATTTGGCATGCAGGTAGATGTTATGACGTAGGCATCCGCTAAGAAAGGATTTTGATTAATTCTAACCCCAAGGGTATAAAATTGGTGATGAAAGTGTGTATGAAACTTTGTCAATTTTAAATCGATCGGACTGAGACTTTGCATGCATAAAGCTACCATGACGTAGGCATCCCCTAAGAAAAGATTTTGATAAATTCCACCCCTAAGGGGATAAATTAACGCGAGCGAAGCCGCAGGCAAAAGCTAGTAAAATATAAACTTCTTTGTCCCCTATGTTATAAAAAAATCTTCAATTTAATAGCGACCCACCAGTAGTTCATGTAGGAAGCACTGGTGTAATCCAATATAGTTTGATACCAGCATTAGGTTCAAGACTTGGTCTCAATTCATCTCGTTTAAGTATATACAGATTTACGCCGCGACCTGCCGTATGAATACTGATTTCCTTGAGGCTGTGGTCATAACTTAGATCACGAACTTGCTATTAGTGTCTCGTTCTGTTTATACATATTTATTGACACGTAAAAGATCTAGACTGCCGAAAATAATGCCCTAAAGCAAAATTGACACGTGTGGAATGAAACTTAGTTTTATATCTACACTAGCTGTCCCGGCAAACGTTATTTTGCCTTAAAATAAAATAAAAAATTAGGGGTGGACTACCCCTAACATTTAGGGGCATGAAATATGGATGTTGTCCGATTCTCAGAACTACTCAATACGCTTACAAAATTTCATGAGAATCGGTCAAGCCGTTTCGGAGGAGTATGGGAACGAAAACTGTGACACGAGAATTTTATATATAAGATATTATAAAATTCAAAATATCTTTATTCATGTAGGTCTATTACAGACTCTTATGATACGCCAAATCTACCGTCAGTTCGGAATGATTTCCAGATGAGAAGAAATGACAAGAAACTCAGCTCGTATTCTTTTCAAATAAATGTTGTACTTATTCACTGTAATACAGATTCATTATTAATTCAAATTTGGGAGAATAGAGTGACCACCAGCATATGCTATTGCAAGCAATTATACTCATGAATACAAATGTATGTACTATGCGAGGAATCGAACCCGCGACCATCGGAGAGTAAAGCGTTGTGCTAAGACGCTAGACCACATAGGGTTTTGATGTACATAAACAGATATGATGGTTAATAAATACCGACGTAAAAAAAATAAAAAAAATTCCGTTTAAGCCTGAAAGCTCGTAGAAAGTTACATCATATTGAGATGTTTTCCTTCCTTTTATATGAATGGTTAATTAGGCGTCGCTAATGTATAACATTTTAGAATCTTACTAGCTACTCGCCCCGGCTTCTCACGGGTGTACATGTACTCATATAAACCTTCCTCTTGAATCATTCTGTCTATTAAAATTAATGATTATTAATGTTTTATGAATGATAATTAATGATTTTCTATTCTATTCTATTCATTCATAAGGGCGACAATATACTTGCAATTCCCCTGGTATTGCGGGTGCTCATAAGCGGCGGTAATCACTTACCATCAGGTGAGCCGCATGCTCGTTTGTCCCCTGTGTTAAAAAAATTCATATTGAGATATTTTCCTTGCTTTTATATGAATGGTTAACTAGGCATCACTAATGTATAACATTTCAGAATATTATTATAAACGAAGCTACCCCTATAGTAGTATCTTTACAGGGATATCATATATAAGCTTATAGAAATTATGAATGTTTTATGGTACGTTAAAAGTGAAAAGCCGAGCTATGGTAATTATTCACTCATTGAAAATTCCTTTTAAGGTTGTCTATACTAAATTATATTTGTCTATTTCATAAATTACGGAGTCAGTGGTCTAGCGCTTTAGTTCCGATGGTCGCGGGTTCGATTCCTCGCACGGTGCAAACATTCATGAGTATGATTGTTTGTATCGGTCCAGGTGTTTCTATGTGTATTATGTATGAAAAATGAAAATCTAAGTATTTATATTAGTTGTTGAGTACCTATAATAAAAGATCTGCTTAGCGTGGGACAGTGCTTACAGTGACCACCAACCCGAACAGATCAGTCCTCACAAGCAGCATCCGTTCACGGATATGACGGAAGAGCCAGCCATCTTTTTTTAATGATGATAAAGATGGAATGTTGCATCCAACTGCGCTTATGGTTTACGTTGGCAGGGCAACAGTGAAGGATGATAAGATGAGCATGAGGTCAGGTCAATTAGCCAATTGTGACAAATTCACCAAGAATTTATCACGATGGTTTCCAGGGGGAACCGCGTGGAGGCCAACCTGACATAGTACTTTGCTAGCAATGGTTCCAGCCAGCCATTTGTCATTGCACTCAACTACATCGACCCAACAAATTATTACGTGCATAGATTTGAACTCACGGCCTTTTAGGTTTAACCTTTTAGAGGCAGTAAAAACCAGTGACAGGATGCCCTTTTATGAAATTAAACCATCATCTGAAGCAAGTGAATGGAACTGAAATAAATAGGATTTTATTACGTTAGCAGTAAAGTCAATATTAGGTATTGTTTATAGAATTAATTACATTAACATTATAACCTTGGGGTTTATTTAACTGTAGCGTTTCACGGGGCGGAAAATTGGCCCGCCCTCAAAGAAAATAGACTTAACTACCTTAAATATTAAATACTAGTGTTGCACACTGGCTTTGATCTGTAATGGGTGGTAATATTGTACGATTTTTTTACCGATATATGTATATCTATTTATATTTAAATTTATTTCTACATTACTATGAAAATCATTTATTCAAATAAACTTAATTTAAGCACTTTTGAATAGTCAACAATTTTTTTTTATAATCTACCGCTCATTCGGACAGCAGTCTCATCACAAATAGAATAAGCAAGAAACTTGTGTGTTGCTCTTTTAAACAATTCTTGTAACTTCACAATTTACAAGTCGAAACGTGTGAATACAAACTGCTAACCAGCACTAATTTATTTATGCTCAAATAAGAACACGATAAGATTAAATCAGTCGTAGTGATAAGAGCAGACCAGTCCCTACAAGCAGCACTCGTTGACGAGTATGACGGATGAGCCAGCCATCACTGCGCTCGACCATATTTTAGGGAGCCCAATGACGGCCCATATTTTTAAATGTACAAATATATTATTTTTATTTTACTGTATGTATATATTTTTATCTCTATATTGAAACCTTCAAGAAAAGAGCTTATTCCTTTTTAAAAGGCCGACAACATACTTGCAATTCCCCTGGTATTGCGGTGCTCATGGGCGGCGGTAATCACTTACCATCTGGTGAGCCGCATGCTCGTTTGTCCCCTGTGTTATATAAAAAAAATCCAATAATCATGTCGATAACATCATATATATATATATTTGTTTTTATTGTTTCAGGATGTTATACACACAATCAGCACACCACATGGGCAGGTGCAGAGGATCGTAGTATTCAAAAAAAACGGTGTCCAGGCCATGGTTGAATATCCTTTTCAATTACTCAAATAGATCATAGCTATCTTTTATAATTTTTTTTTTAGAAAAACGTAATTTACGTTGTAGTAATAATTGAGAGGAATTTACACAGCGCCATCTAGTACCAAAGTGAGGCAATATATTAGTTACATTTTTATAATTAATTATTTTAGAATAATTCAAATTTAGTTATAATAATAATGGAGGACAATTCACACAGCGTTATCTAGTAACAAAGTTTGGCTAATATATAATTGTTATGTTCTTATAATTACTTTTGTAGACTAGTGCAAATTTGTTAATTTTTTTCAATTTTAAATTAAGCCCAAAAACTGTTTCAAAAATTTATAACTCATATATACCGATATATATATTTTTTTAAATAGGTTATATACATACCAATCTTCAACTTTCTGTCTACCTATCAATAAATTTAAGATATATTGAATTTTTGAAATAGAAGAATATTTTTTTTTTTGTAAAGTTGGATATTATAAGGTATGACAATCCGGTTTCTTCCTTCAATACATATTAAACCTCATGCCAGTTTTTAAAAAATATCAAAAGTATCTTTATTCATGTAGGTCTATTACAGACTCTTATGATATGTCCAATCTACCGTCAGTTATTTCGAGATGAGAAGAACTGACAAGAAACTCAGCTCGTATTGTTTTCAAATAAATGTTGTACATGTTTATAATAATACAGATTCATTTTTAAATTCAAATTTGGGAGTAACCATAGATAATTAATCTATTCGCGTAATTCCTCATAAATATGTGAAAGTCGTGTATGATTATAGTTACTTAATTTATAAATGATGAGCAGGGAGATAAAAATTCTACTTACAGATACTTGTTGCTCTAAATTCGGGTAACGCCGCGGTATATAGCTAGTAGATTATAAAACGTGAACTATAAAAGTGAAGTTGTATATTTATCTATCATTCCCAGTTGTCGGGTCGCAGTGTTAGCGAGTTATTTAATAAGGTGTGGCCGTTTTTTTGCGGACTACTCTAATAATATTGGCCGCAGCTGGCCTTTACAGCTTCACAGGACGATAAGGGGCCTAATGCTGTTGGCCTTTACAGCTTGGCCGGACGATAGGGGGCGAGTAGATGGCACTCCAATCCAAAGGAAGGACTTGTGGAGCGACTGGAGGCCAACTCCCGCCTGACCGATATGACTTTAGTCTGAAGGCACCGTTAGGGGTTCGAACTTGGGCTCAGGCCGTCGTAATTTCGATTTTGAATTGGACGGGGGATCGATCAGAGGGGAAAAGTGTGGCCATCTTTGCTTCTATAGTTTGTATGATAGTAAAATTTGGAAAGTACGATTATGATATATATATATATATAACTTTTTTTTATCTATAAACGACATATTTACCATAGTAATGTCGTTTATCAACTAAAGATGGTTGGATGCTGTGCATCTTGATCTCAGATCGATGAAAATTTGCATTGAAAATTTATATAGATAAATTATCTGTATTCAAAAAGTTACTGTAAGCGATTGAAGTGTTTACAAATTGATTATGTAGTTGAGGTAGTTAATTCAGTAATATTACAGTTTGTATGTCTACCTGTCTATTTGTTACCTATTACCTATACCAAACGTCTGAACGGATATTCATAAAATTTAACGTAAAGGTAGATTGTATTATGGGGATGGACACTGACTATGTTATCTAAAAAAAACAGATGCAGTTGAGGGAAACAGTTATGCACCCAGGTTTTCGCCACTCTCGCAGTGGGACCACACCTTTACCGACTACACAGACGGTGGCCCAGTTTGGGAGCAGTAAAAAGACAGATAAATAAACAAATCGCGCCATAGCACCTAAGATTCTCTTGTCTATCAAATTTGGGTTGAGAATTACAAAAGTTAGTTTTTATAAGTTGACTTGTAACCCGACCCGTCTTCGCTCGTTTGTTCATAACTTTAGTAGTGTTGTATATATTTAAATGTGTAGCCTATATTAAGTTTCTCTTGTTTAGCAAAACTGGGTTGAGAATTACAAAAGTCAGTTTGTATAAGTTGACTAATGTACTGCCCAGGCTTCGCCCATATCCACTTTAAGAGTTTTGTATATATTTACATTATATATAACGTATATCACTCAAGATTATTAGAGCTTTTGAATAATGAAAGAATTTTTAAAATCGGTTGTGTATTTAGTTGCGGAAAGGTAAAAACAAACGGAAGGCCTCCAGCAAGGTGGACGGACGATCTGGTCAAGATCGCTGGAAGGCATTGGATGCGAGCAGCGCAGGACCGATCGTCGTGGAGATCTTTGGGGGAGGCCTATGTCCAGCAGTGGACGTCTTCCGGGCTGCGATGATGATGATGATGATGAAAAACAAACGAAATTACAAAATCACAATTAAAATATTTTTATGTGCATATATATACATATAGACGACCGACTTCAAATAAATGGGATAAGGAAGAAGTAATGATGATGATGTAGATAGACACTTTATTATGTTTTGGTTTTTATTTATACTACGATGATGGCAAACAAGCATACGGCCCATCTGATAAAACGGTTACCGTAGCCTATACACGCCTGAAGCACCAGGGGAGACACGTGCGCGTTACCGACCCTTAAGAAACCTTAATTATGCCCTTCTTGAAAAACCCCATGCTGTAGTCTCGTGAGAAAACCTCGACAGGTACTTCATTCACAATCAAAGTGTACGCGAGAGGAAGCTCCTCTGAAACCGCACTATCCGAGACCACTTAGGTTCCAGCGTGTGGGAATGAATGCCCAGTCATAATATATCCATTGCAACTGTATTAAAAAGTTATAAAACAACTTCCCGCTTCGAGCTGTGGGTGAATCACAGACTATGTATGAACAGATCACGGTAAAGTTTAATTAAAATAAAACACACTTACCAGTGGAACTTTACGACGGCCACTGTATTCAATGCGGCGGACATAAAATCACTCGTTGCCGTACATAAAACGCTGAACTAGCCGATAAATTAATCCTCGTTTGTAAAAGAAATAACGTTTTGTAGACGGGAGACTTTTTGTCGCGCCACTTTTTGTTGTAATGTAATGTCTACTAATAAAAACGCTGCAACAAAAAGTCGCTTGTTATTAGGTGATTGTTGCTCGTGACTTAGTTTGTTTACTGAGAGAAATGGTTAGTTGGCTATCGCGCGACATTTTGTCGTAGTGTTTGTATTAGTCATATACTGTTTTATTATTAGATGATTGTTACTCGCGACGTAGTTTGCTTTTAGAGATGAATGAAGAAAATGGTTAGCTGGCTAGAGAATGCTATATGGCGTTCCTGAGGATATAAAAACCATCGCTTCTAAGAATATCCTTCAATTCTTATCCCTGACGAGCATTGGAGCGAATCTATTTTTTATTATTGAAGGTTTTGGGCTATTGTTAGGTGCACTGTGATCTGTATAGAACTATTGTGCTGTTGATGACAATAAAAATGATAATAGATCTCTACATGTCGCAGTGCTAAAGAGACCTGTCTCTTTAGCACCAAGCAATAGTCCAAATCTTAATAAAAGAAAGAATGTCTGGCATTAGGCCCGTCAATTCTACAAATATGAATTGTTTATTTTGCCTGAAAGGTGGTTTCCAGGATGGAATAATCTATGATGTATGAATCACACAATTTAGCAAAATCTGACGTCAAATTAATAATATATTTTATAATTGTATATATATTTTCTGCGACTTCATCTGTATTTTCTTTAACATTTATTTTGTGGGCGAATTATACACATGTTTGTAGTAATAGAGCAATAAAGAATCAATACATATATAAAAAATAGCCTGTGGCTGTCTCTTGATACAACTTGTCTTCTTGTGAAATTTCATTAGGGTACATTCAAATGTTTAGTGGGGAAAAAGTAACAAGCCCTGAAAGCAGTCCGACAGGACTGACTGCTATAACTCAATCCTCGAGTCTTCTTGTATTCTTAGATACGCGTTTTATTACAAACGACAAAATAATCGTCGAAAAGTTGCCCGTGTGCGCTGTGCTTAGGCCAGATACCTGTTGGATTTGAAGATGAAATGTAAATTATAAATAGCACGAAATCTATTTAAAAAGAAAACATAAATGATTCATAACAATATTAAACGCTGCGGATAACGTAAGGAGAACAGCTGGCATGTCTTAGAATTGATCTGTATTTAACGTAGGAGCTCTTTTTAAAGTTTCTCAAATGTAGACTATAAAAAGTCGTGTGCGTACTTCAGTCTTACTTACTTCAGCCGCCAAGCAGCTTTCTTTGTAAAATTTGATTTAATTATAGGGATTAGAATGTATTTACGAGATAAGATAGTAACCGCAGATGAATATAATCATATTCATGAATACAATTTGTAATTCGAACCCGCGACCATCGAAATCAAGGCGCTGTGCTAAACCACTAGACCACCGAGGCCATCAATATATTATAATAATTAGGTATTAGCATTTCCCGCGACTTCTTTCGCTTATAGTACTGAAAAAAAATAAGTTTCAAGCATCTTCAAAAATAACAATACTTCATCTATTATATACAACCCTTCATCTCCCCTTTCAACCCCTTACAACCCTTTCATCCCATTAAAAAGCAACCTATAAGTTTCAAGCATATATCTTTAAAAATAACGACACTTCTATCCAACCTTTCATCCCCCTTTTCAAACCCCTTACAACCCCTTTTTCGCATTAAAATGTCTAAATCCTTTCTCAGACTCTAGACTATCTGTGTACCAAACATTAAAATCCGTTCTGATAGAGTTATTTTCGCATTTATAATATTATAAGAATTATAAAAATTAAAGCGTGAAAGCACAACAGACAGACAGACAGAGTTACTTTCGCATTTATAATTTTAGTAAGTATTATAAACACCAAAGTATCAAGGTACTCGTATACAACAACCTCGCTCTTGCAGCACCCCTCACGTTTCACCAAAAAGTTTCCCAACAAACATGTTTATGGATGTTTTTTTCGATATAACAAAATCACAAAGTAAGCTGTCTCTTTCTAATTATGTTTTTTTATACTTGGAATTTTATTCAAATTACTTAGGAGTTGTAACCAAATTGGGAATCGTAGAGCGCCGTCTGAGATATAAGGTTGTGCACACAGGTAATCGGACTAGCGGTTTATTTTTACGTACTGTCTTATTTTTTGGTGGGCCAACAAAACATTTGTTTGTATGTATTCATGAGTTACTGGTTATATTGTTCTCTCTACACTATATATTAGATAATTGTATTTAATTATTACTGTATCTTACTAATACTATAAATACGGAAGTTTGTGAGATTTGGATGAATGGATAGAGATATTTGTTACTCTTTCACGCAAAAACTACTGAACGTATTATGATGAAACTTTACAGTAATTTATATATGAGACTAACACAAGCTATAAATTTTATGCGCGTAAAAGGTCCCAGAAAAATGTGAATTAAACAAAATGGTAATTGGCTTTCAAAATGACTATTTAAAACGTATTGTACATAATATTTAGAGCTGCAACTGTTCCATATGCTATACATATAAATAAAATTGGAGTGTCTGTTTGTAATATTGAAATAATCGTTTTTTACTACATGCATATGAATATAAATATTTTTTTTTACAATTTTTGTCTGTCTAGCTAATGTCTGAAATGGCTGGACCGATTTTAACGGGACTTTTATTGGCAAGTAGCTGGTGTAATAAGGAGTAACATATAGTACTTTTATTTAAAAAAATAAAGTTAAATTCCAGGCGAAGTCGTAAGTACAGCTAGTAAATAAATAAAAATATTTGTTGTAAATATGTATGTATGTACAAAAAAAAAGTGTTCAAATGTGTCAAAATGTATGTCTAGGGATACATGTTTAAAGATAGTTTTTTGGCGTTAGTGTGCAGTTTAACAGAGTTATCACAATCCCAAAACTTCATGGCATCACATTATAACATGAACTCCATAGTGCTGTTCATGTATGTTAACGACAGTTACCACGTACCGTCAGTTAGCTCATTATCTTGTTTCCATTTCATTTACATTAAAAAAACTGTATTTGACCAGACCGCTCACTCCCGTCACATTGGTCTCACCTTAAAGTTATTATATAAAATTAAGTAGCACATCGAGTCGCAGCCGTTTGAATAATCTCGACGTGTTTTAAACTTGGTCGGGTAATAACAGCTTAATGTTGAAACTGAACATTAATCCATTCAGCTCTCTGAAACTCAACCATTCAGTAATGATTATACAGGTAAATCTATATTTGATCTGGTTTGATCTGTAGACAGAGTTTAAAGGTCGTTATTGGAATTATCTAGTAGTTGTGCCTGCGGATTCGTTCGTGTGGTATTCGGAATAAGAATAGGTTATATTAGACGGCCTTGATGGTCTAGCGGTTTAGCACACCGCTTCACTTCCGATGGTCGCGGATTCGATCTCCCGTACGATGCAAATATTGTATTAATTAATATGAATGTTTGTATTGGATTGATGTTTTCTACATATGTTATAGATAGACAGATAGATAACAAATATAAAATATATGTATAAGTATAAATATGTATTTATACTTATACATATATTTATTTTTTAGACGACCTCGGTGGTCCAGCGGTCTAGTACACCGCTTTACGACCGATGGTCGCGGGTTCGATTCCTCGCACGGCACAAACATTTGTATTCATGAGTATGATTGTTTGTATCGGTCTGGGTGTTTTCTATATATAATATGTATGTATTTACAAAAAAAAAATATCTATGTATTTGTATCAGTTATCTAGTACCCATAACACAAGCTTTAGCTAGCTTAACTTGGGTCTAGATGGCGCTGTGTGAATTGTCCTGAGGTTATTATTATTATTATTATTATTTGTAAAAAAAAAATGTATTTGTACGAATTAACATACGCTCAGCTCAACTTGGGACTGAATAACGCTCTGTGAATTGTCCAAGGATAACCCTGGACTAATTATAATAATGTAATTATTATTTTGCTATGCACTTTTTTGGATTCCTCCTTTGATGGAGGATAGTTTTGTCTTTGGAGATAGAATTTATTATTATTATTTTTATCTTTTTTCTCTCTCTTCTTTTATAAATTTAAAAGAAAGTAATACTCACCACGGGCCCTAGTCAAGTGTGGGAGAGGTTGTGCTGTGAGAAGATTATTATTATTATTGTCTTTCTTATCATCATCATCATCATCAGTGTTATATTTGATTGCAATGTTTCCTTAACTCGTGGTCACAAATTCGAGAGTGTGGAGTCCGCCACAAGAGCAAAGGAAGCACTCCACGGTTGCGACATTTACTCAGGATGCTGTACACTGAAAATAGAATTTGCTAAGGTAAGTGCACAATCCTTATTAGTATCCTTATTTAATTGACTACTAAAATGTATTATAAGATATTAATAATTCTTCTTTTTATTTCTTAAAAATCTTATCTTATCTGATTGAATTGAGATCAAGTGCGAAGCGGTTTCTATGTTGATTGTCGCATGCCTAATCCTTGATAATGTAAATCTAATTTAAACAATAATTTTGCCGTGGAAACGTTGGGCCCATGGAGCCTGGAAGCCAAATTGTTTTTAACATATTTTTCAGCGTGGCTCGTCGAGGTTACTTGTGACCTGAGAGCTGGTAGCTACTTTGCCCAAAGGCTAAGTATGGCCATTCAAAGAGGCAACGCTGCCAGTATCTTGGGTACGCTGCCTCGATGTGCCGCGTTGGATTACAATGATTGTTTTTTGTTATTGTTTGTATTGAATTAAGATTATAGCTGAAAGTAGAAAATAAAAATATATATACATTTAAACAATATTTATTTAAAAGAGCAATACATAAGTTTCTTGCTCGTTGTTCTTGTGATGAGTCTGCGTTCCTAATGAGCGGTAGAATAAAAAAGTGTGAGTATACAACAGTGCTTATATTAAGTTTATTTGAATAAAGATCATTTCTATTTATATTTCTTCTCATCTGATTGCTGTGTCCAACAGGGTCCATAATGGATCTTCTGTGAATTTAACTACCTACCAATTATTTATTGTAAAATTATAAATAAATTAGTGCTGGTTGGTAGTTTGTATTGACACGTTTCGACTTGTAAATGTAAACTTACAAGGATTGTTTAAAATAGCAACACGCAAGTTTCTTGCCCATTCTTCTTGTGATGAGACAGCTTTCCGAATGAGCGGTAGATTAAAAAATGTTATGACTATTCAAAAGTGCCTAAATTAAGTTTATTTGAATAAATGATTTTTTATTCTATTTTATTCCAATGCTTAAATAAAGAAATAAAGATTACTAAGCTGGTAGAAAAAGGAATTTAGGAATTTCAAAATAAGTTTTAAACCTCAATTAAAAGGGCGTTGTTTTATGTAATGACTATAGCGAACAAGATGATAGTGCTCTTCATAGTAAGCAGTAAGTCTTATATATATAATATATAAAATTCTCGAAGAGAAAATCACTTTACGTCCAAATAAATGGGAGATAAGGAAAGTTTGTTACCAAGCTCCTCCGAAATGGCTTTACCGATTTTTATCAAATTTTGTGTGCATATCGGGTAGGTCTGAGAAATACCAACATCTATTACATATACATTTGTTGAGAAAACTCTTTTGATATTAATATATTTAAAGGTTTTTTCTATTCTATAATCAAAAATATAAAAACAAAATTATATTCTGTCACCTTCACTATCTACCATCTTAACATTAAAATAATTTTTTCAGTCATTAATAGTTTTATTACATATTTCTACAACAATATTTCATACCCTTCAGTGGTAAGGGTGTACCATTACCACGTTTACTGGGACATCTAGTATATATATATATATATATATACTAGATGTCCCAGTAAATATATATCATTTTATACGGTCCCTTCGTCCTTCCTACATATATAGTATACTAGCTGTCCCGACAAACGTTGTTTTGCCATATAAATTAATAACGGTATAAAAAAATAGGGGTTGATGATAGAAGGGTGAAAATTTAGGATTGTATGTATTTTTGTATGTTGTATCAAAAAAAATAGAAACTAAGAATTTTGTATAAAAAATAAAAATAAAAAATGTAGGGCTGGACTATCCCTAACATTTAGGGGGATGAAAAATAGGTGTTGGCCGATTCTCAAACCTACTCAATACGCTCACAAAATTTCATGAGAATCGGTCAAGCCGAAAACTGTGACACGAGAATTTTATATATAAGATATATATTAAGGGACCTCTTTTTTTTTAAAGGTAGTTTATTTTTGTAAATAAACTAGCTTTAAAAAAAAGTAATTCAATTAAGTTTCTTGCCAGTTCTTCTCAATTGGATCTATATACCGAACTGGACGGTAGGAAGAAAATTAAAATTAGAATGTAAAAAATTTGACATTCCTAATCGGCTCAAATATCCTACATGAATAAATGATTTTTGAATTGAATTTAAATTTGAATATCTCCGTCATGTTATGACATTGAGGCCGTCTGTTTGTACATTCTAAAAACACCTCGAACAACAATTTCTTTTGATATCTATATATAGGATCGGTGTGTCCGTCAGTATGTAATAGGAGACCGGTCGGTAAGTGGCATCTCGAGTTAGAGGGCGTGTTGGACACGGTGTGGAGTTACCACTTAATATTGCCACTTTGTGGTACGAGTGGTACTTTGTTTAATATTGCTGTGTCGACATACATGATTGAGATATTTAGTGGATATCTACACATATAAATAAAATTGGAGTGTCTGTTTGTAATATTGAAATAAGCGGTTTTTACTACATGCATATGAATATAAGTACGGTACATATACCAAAATGTCATTTTTTTTAATTTTTGGATATTTGAAAATAGCTGGACCGATTTTAACGGGACTATTTTTGGCAGATAGCTTATGTAATAAAGAGTAACTTAGGTTACTTTTATTTTAGAAAAATTAAGTTAAATTCCACGCGGAAGAAGTCGCGGGAACAGCAAGTCTTTATATATAATAATTACGTGTCACGTTGTTTGTCCGCGATGGACTCCTATACTACTGAACCGATTGCAAATTTGATTTGCACATTGTGTGCAATTTGATCCAACTTGAAAGATAGGATAGCTTACATCTCAATTTATAGTCGCAATATTATTTAATCTTAGCCACAGCAACGTGTGGCCTGGTCGCTAGTACAATAATAAATAACTCTGGACAATTAGCACAGCGCCATCTAGTTCCACGGTAAGCAGAGCTCGTGTTATGGGTACTATACAACGGATATAAATACTTAGATTTTTTTGTAAATACATATATATTATACATAGAAAACACCCAGACCGATACAAACAATCATACTCATGAATATAAAATGTTTGTGCTGTGCGAGGAATCGAACCCGCGACCATCGGAAGCAAGGCGGTGTAAACCTACCGAACCCATCAACATTGTACTGTAAAAGTACATAGCAAGTTGAATTCGGCAATTTGCAAGTTTTACCTTACCACTGGGTGATATTATTGTAATTTACCATTCACCAACGCAGTCTGCCCCCGTTGCATGCGGCGGGTCGTTACCAAAAGTATTTTAGCGCTCGTAATGGGGAAAATGGAGAAATTCGCGTCCTTTGTGGTGTGTTTAATAAAAAGGAAACTTAAAAGAATGGCATCAGAGCTTCATTTGACTGTATTGTCGAATGAGGAGGTTTTGTTACTCCATTTCGCGTGTGAGTGTTTAGCGTGGAGTAAGGAACTTGAGCGGTTTCCGACGTGATACGCTGTATTATTACATTTGGAAGATTCTAGAGTGTTCTATATACGTTGAGGATGATAGTCTAGTGTACGAACTACAGAATTAATAACAATAATAATCTATAATAATAATAATCTCAGGACAGTTCACACAGCGCCATCTAGACCCAAGTTAAGCTAGCTAAAGCTTGTATTTTGGGCACTATTGTAGATAACTGATACATATACATAGTAGTAGTAGTCCACCCCTAACTTTTTTCTTTTTTTTAGACAAAATTTGTAGTTTCTATTTTTTTATGATACAACATACAAAAATACATACAATCCTAAATTTTTACACTTCTATCATCAACCCCTATTTTTTTGTAGCGTTATTAATTTATATGGCAAAACAACGTTTGCCGGGACATTAGTATAGTATAAAACAAAGTCGCTATCGCTGTTTGTCCGTTCCTATGTATGCTTAAATCTTTAAAACTACGCAACGGATTTTGAAGCGGTTTTTTTTAATACATAGAGTGATTCTAGAGAACGTTTTATATATATAATACATGTACACCCGTGCGAAGCCGGGGCGAGTAACTAGTATTAGATAAACGAAAAGATATAACCACCACGCGGCGTTCCCCAACAAAAGGTATCATAAAAAAAAATGTAATTTCAGCAAAATCTCCACAATGAGTGCTGAGTTGGCACTTTTGTGGTCTTCGCGAAGTCGTGTTACCTTCGTTTACATCAATCATAAATGTTTATGATGACAAAATACAAGGCTTTTGTACGGTTATTGTTGATGCGAATGGAAGGTTGTCACGAAAACTGTGAACTTTGGAATTGTTTGTGTATATTACTCTGTATAAAACATTGGTCTATTTATTTGCTTTATATAGGTTGCATTCTTCTTAGGAATAAATACACAGTTCCATATTTAGCTACGTTTCGAACTTAAAAATTTAGATAAACTAAAATATCATCCTGATCATCTGGATGAATAGCGGTCAACCACAGTGCGGTTTCCTAGAAACTTTTTGCTACGCACAACCACATTGTGGAATCACCTTCCAGCAATGGTATTTCCGAACCGATACGATATTGAAACCTTCAAGAAAAGAGGTTATTTTTTAAAAGGTCGGCAACGCACTTGCAATTCCCCTGGTGTTGGTGCTCATGGGCGGCGGTAATCACTTACCGTCTGGTGAGCTGCAAGCTAATTTGTCCCCTGTGCTATAAAAAAAATGTCAATATTAGTCATCATCATCTGTTTGTTCCTTATCCCATTTATTTGTGGTCGGCGTAATATGTTTTTCTCTTCCATTCATCTCTGTTCGCAGTCATCGCGTTATTTACTTCCTTTCTCACCATATCATCTTTCACACAGTCCATCCATCTCTTTTTCGGCCTTCCTCTGCCCTTATAACCATCCACATTCATATGTAACATCTTTCTTAAAATATTATCCTCGTTCCTACGCATTACATGTCCATACCATGATAGACGATTACTCTTCAACCTCTCTGACACCGGCGCCACTTTCATACTTCCATACTACTACTTAAAATATCAATATTGGTATTGAAATGAAATTTAACTATGATAATATTTGTTACCGTTATAAATTGGAACCGATA